AGAATTGTTACGCTATACTTTATGTTGCAGGTTAATTTATTACTGTTTTATATTTACAATTCCCAACAAGAAATGAAGAGAATAGAAATGGAAGGAGAATTTTGGCGTGGTTTTGGTTTTGATATAGAATTATGATTCTGTCCCGTTCCGAGACTGTTTTTGCATTAGCGAAATTATGGGTGATGAAAATTATGCTTATGCCAAGGATTCACTTACATTGGAAGAAAATAAATCAGGCTTTGTTCAGTTTGAGTCAAGGTAGACAGGACCTTGGAACAGGTTCCATAAAATTATGCTATCTAGTATCACTGACAGCCGAACAACTTTGAAACTTTAATTACAAATATTTTTATAATTATACCTAAAGTCAATACCACAGAAGGAGTTGCTTGCGGCTACTAACACAACACAAGACAACACAAGAGTCGCCTTCACGTTTTCACCGCTGAAGAGAAATGCCCGATGAGAGACCAGAAAATAACAAACTGATATACTCGTAAGCACTCAAAATTGAATTTATAGTTAGCTCGTCTAGCTTAGGTAGGTAACAAAAATTAATTAAAAATTATTGTTGCAAATATATATTTATTTCAAATTCCACATTTTAAATTCCTGTACAGTAGTATACAAATATGCACCAATTATGATTAAAGCAGTGTTCTCCTAGAAAAGTTATAATACTTACACCCAGTATTTTAAGGATAAATTACAAAATGCCTGCCTTCTTTGCCATTACGAACAGCTGCTTAGAAATGATTGGCATATTAAGCTTGTTATTTTAGCTTACCTATAAAGGAACTGGACAATACATTTGATTGGATTACACTGATCATATTTGAGTGGTTTAAATGGTAAATAAAAACGTTACAATGAAACATAAATCAATCACCATCTATTTCAATAGGTACCTAATACTAGTTTTTCCCCTTTGATCATTACTACCAGCAAAAAATGCAAATCGTCTTTGTCCATATAGGCACGTTTGTATAAAAAGGGTTACTACTCATTGCATCGCTCTTACATTCATATGTTACGTTTAAGGTGGCTGCTGTTTAATGTATTGTGACGGTTAAAAAGTGGCCTACGGATAACGGGCAGTTTGACTTAGGTAATTAATCGTGAAGTGCTTTCACTTTGGTGCAGCTACCTCCGATGTTTTGTGATAATGCTAATGAAATATTTTTACTTACAACTGTGTAGCCTAATGAAATACCTAAGAAGGATATAGGGAACCACCTAAAAGTTGCAAACTAAATTTCTTCTTCTACTTACCTAGTTCTTTGACCTACCAAACTTTTCAAAGGCTAATAATGAACGAATAACGTTGCCAGGCAATATGCCGAAAAGCTTAGGAGAAGCAGAGCATTGTGCTTCAGCTTTATTCCTTAAAAGCTGAAGATAACCGTAATTCCTTAAGTGTCCTACCCAACTGGAGACAAATGCTTGCTTGTAACTCCATTATTTTTTTATTATTGCCTCACCATTTTGAGCAAGCACTTTTTAACTAAAAATAACTCACTCAAAGATAATATTAAAAAAATACCAGCAATACAGTTTGTATTTATTGCTTTAGCATCTAGTTCATGTAATATACCTGATACGTTTAAAGAAATACCTACTCAAGGAGCCTTTGGCAATTATTTAAATTTGAACTTATCTTTAGCTCTAATCCAACACGACGCTTTTTATTTTTCTTAAATTTGTTCTTAAATCACTGTCATTCATGTCATAAACCGGCAACGTAGATTCTATAAAACAGCAATGGGATCTAATAAAAAACCTACCATTACTTTTTACAGTCGATTTACTTAATATGTCTAAACGAAGCTTTTATAGTACAACGGAATGCAAAGACTTTCAAAGGAGTGTTAATTTAGACGCCAGCGCAACTTGCAAGTTCATGCCTTTGTTTTTTCCAGCAAATATTTAATTCATGCAATTTAACTAAGCATGTCGCCAGACCATGGCTTTGGTTGCAAACTACAGATGAAAATAAATAATTAAAGGCTGATGCCAACATTATTTCGTAGCATGATTACGAGCATCGCGTCGCATCTGTGTGCGTCTGGGAGGAGATGTCGCCGCATGCGCTGGCGCAGGCCCCGCCCCCCTCATTGCTAATTGCGCCAATCTGCGGGGCGAGAGGCACGCACACGCGGGCACGCACGCACGTACACACGCATAACGCGGTGACAAGCACTGCACTCGCCAAATGTGAGCACAGTACTTGTGTATGTAAATAAAATGTTCTGAGGTGGTCGAGAAAACGACAATACTCATTATAGGGGAGCGCTCTACACAAAGATTAACTTATCATTTTGGTGGGAATTATTTACGTGTATATCTTCTTGTTTTTCTTTAGCAAGCCATTCCATATTTTTAATTAGGCCTGCCTTATACCATTATTTGTAACAGCTAATACTTTTAAGTTTAATATGACTGTCATGAGTGTCACATACACACACAACGCTTTTGCTTGACTCATAACAGTCACTTATTCCAAGGACTTCATTCGCAAAAAGAATTTAGCTAATTGAACGTAGGTAGATAGGGAGTAGGTAGTCAGACAGGCAGCCAGTCGGATGGGCCAGACATAGTCGTCACAACGTTCATTTATTACACAAACAGAACGCAGTAATTGAAAAAATCTCATTTTCGTCCGTCTAGTGATGAAAACTTGTGTTGTGAGAATAAGAAAAAAACAAATAAACGTCTGACTCTCAGTCCCGCTGAGCTGTGCCATTTGTTTGCTGTTTTACAATACCCACCAACAGTAGTAATCAGCACACACATACAAAAATAAATTAAACATTTCAAAATTCATTTTAGCTTTAGTAGACTCACCTTACTTGACGAATGAATTAAACCTCATATTATTTAAAAAGATCTATTTCTATTGCGTGGAGTTCAGTATTCAGTTAAATCCACTTAAATATCTTCATGTACAATTGTGTAAGACAATAATTTATAACAAACGATCATAACAATTACTTTTTCATAGTTACATAGCGCGTTGAAATTGAAGCTTTAAATGGTTATGCTAAGGTTGGTTTTCACTTATCTGTGTATTGATTACGAGTGGCCGATGTTTGTCATTGCTCAATAGGTGTGAAATTGGCGATGAGCTCCCGATACTCAGCTATGTATTGAATTATAGGATCGTTCAGCGTTTGTCCTTTTTTTCTTAACAGTATGATTTGAATTGAATAAAAATGTAAGCAAAAGCAGAAATGTTATAGTATGGACTTTTTGTATTTAAAGACCATTATTTTTTTGTTTCATGATTACGCGTACATAAATATGTACCTAAATGAAATTTTAGCATACAATAGATATAATTAAGTTTATAGTGCGAATGTACGTAAGACCATCATAACTTATGTTGTAGTGGTAATAAAACAGACACACAAAAAGCCTGTCTGACGTCAGACATGTAGGTATCACGTGTTTACTGTTGAAACTAAAAGTCAAAGAGACAACGTCAGAGTCAGAGTATAATTCGAATGAAATGTAAACCGCTTCTCTATAAATATGTATCTTGGTATAAAATTTCAGAAGTTAAATCGAATAAAAACAATAAAATTGAAATCTCCCTGTGGAATAAATAATTTCGAGTATGTCATCAATCGCTTCAGTAACCCATAAATTAGGAGTGTGCGTTAAAATGTGCGCGGCTGTATCGTGTTACAGGGACACACCCGTCACCATACCAGCCGAAATGTCATTAAAAAATGTTTCATTAGCTCACCACTATCCCACCAGCTCCAGTGGAATTAACATAAATTATTGTGTTCTTGAACTTTATAAGTTTTTGGGTTCAAATATACCTACTTAAATTGTATACGAGTAATTATGAATTTGTAAATAAAGAGCCTTTAGATTAAGTTACTTGAGAAGTATAACCATGTGAGTGAAACATCATATTATAAACGATATAATAAAGATAGAGGCCGAAGAAAACGATCTCAATTGTTATCACGGTAAGTTTATGTGCAGCTTAAAGTGGTTGAATATACTTTTTATATCTAGATTCTCCGCGATAAAGCAGTCGTTTTACAAAGAAAAACATATAATTAGGCTATTTATGAGCAAGTATTTAATATAACCGGTCGAATAACCCGTGTTATTTAAACGCAGTACAAAACAAATTGTAATCGCAACATTTGGCTAATGTTATTTAATTTAGTTATCAGAAAATCAATGTTTGGTATAATTTTATTTATATGTAACATAATCGAAATGCCGCTGTGTGTCAACGGACGAATCAACCAGATTCAGATGTAATCAGAGCAACAAGAAGCCGCATCGGTCTCGACGCTAACACGATAAGAGTTGGCTTACAAACAGGACCATACACCGGTCGGTCACGGGCCGTTCAGCTCCTCTCGGAACGCACATAAACTAACTCATATAACTGCTGTAAATGCGACGAAATCAATTCCCAGTTCCGATTCTGAGAAGTGACACAGTCTCTTAAGTGTCGCATCACTACCGACGGACCGCTAAATAAATTCTAATCGTCCCCATAACGTACGCATGCCAATCTAGTCTTTAAGGCCTCGATATAGGTGGTTCTTATAAACGTTCGGCGGAGTAGTTTCAATATAACGAAGAGCCACCTGTCCCCACGAAAATCTTTATAGCCGCCATAAAATTTAAACCTCAAAAGAAAAAACAAAACGTATGGAATTAGTTTTTTTTTTGTTTTCCGAACGAGGCCCATTTTAACTTGTGTTTACCTAAGCTGTCACCTTACAGAATGGCGATTTTGACTGGTCGGGTCTGTTGAATTGTTGAGTTTCGGAGAGGTATCATCTGATGTGCGATAACGCCCTTGGACGAGCTACCTACCGTTAATGGGACAATTTGCTTAACTCTGGCAGTTTGGGTCACGGAATTAGAGGTGCGCCAACTTGCTTCATTAATATTGCCGAGTGCAATTCTAGGATCTTGGATCTTAAATAAAAACAAAATCATTTAAAATAAAAAAAAACACTCACCGTGCGAGGAGACAGCGGCGGAGTAGGGGGCGTGCATCTGTTGATGGTAGTAGCGGGCCCGGCTATGGTGGCCGCCTTCCAACGGAGAATGGAAGAACCCGTCGCCATTAGTCTCCGTGTTGACGTCACCGGCGGCCGGGCTGCCGTTGACGCGGCTCTCATACCACCGTTGCTGCAGCGCGCTGGCCCCCGCGCCTGCGCCGCCGCCCTCTCCGCTCATGTCCATGACCGCCGAACCGACCTCACACACCATGCATCGCTTTTATACACACGCACTATAAGTCCACTCCCCTATCCGCATTTCCAAGAGTCAGTTAGTTATTTAGACGCCCGTACACAAGTAAAGTGTATTCGGGCTCAGTCTTAGCATTGTTGTACAAACCACAGCGCGGTTTCAACTTGTCGGGTTGGGATTTGAAGACCAGTTCATATTGCACTTATCTGAAAAAAAAAAGAAGATTGTGAAACGTCTCAATTTCTCAAAATAAAAAACTATTTTAAGTTGGGAGACTTTCAATATTTAGTATTTTAAACATTAGCGGTGTGTACCCAACACAGTCTTTGCAGTTGATTCTTGACAAAGTTAAAGACGTCATTCGATTATTGTCAAGCCTATGCATGCAATCTGTAAGATAGCCCCTACAAACAGTACAGAACACTCTCACAACCAAGACAAAACCAGTTGAAACTTAGATTTAGGTTTAGATTTTTCAATTGAATTATTAAGTCTCCTTCTAATTAAAAAAAAGTACTACTATTAAACTATTGTCAGTAATTATTGGCATTGTCAATTTAAATTTATCAGGATTAATACCAATGTCAAAAGCAAGTTACCAACGTTCTTTGTTATCAATCCCTGAAGGTTCATTTGGCTAACATCGAATGTAAATGTATGATAAATCCGTGCCGGTGCTTTGTAAAAAAAATAGACAATCAATTAAGATAATAGTGGTGCGCTATCGAATACGTACCACGATATCGATACGCTCCCAATTTGATTAACTGATAAGTGCGAACAACACTCGATACCGCCGCGATAAACGATAACCACGCATTAAGCGTTGTTAGCCAACCAAACCGTGATTTTTATTACTACTAAAATTGCAATATATCTTTGAGTCATATCTTTTTCCTGTAGGTATATTTGCACGACACGTTCCAAAGATATTTTAATATTAAACACGTATAACTGCTTTTGTTATCACTATTTATTTGACATTTTGTGTCAGCTTTTTGTTTTGAGACTATTGACATTGCCTAAACGTCACATTTAATATACTCTATAAAGATGGATATTTATATTGTTTATATATTTTACATTCCGCGCAAAATATCACTACCACCATGACACCACGCATCTAGAGAGCGTGCATACATACGAATTGGTCAATTTATTTTGACATAGATACGTAGATAATAAATTTTGTTTGTTTTTAATTTATATATTTAGTTTATAACAATTAGACGTACTGTAGAAAATTAAGTGATGGATTTATCGAGTAATAGATCTCAGTCATTAACGATGATCACAGTAAGTATACGCGTATGTAAATGTAGATAATAATTCTCTCTGCTTCTCTCCTTCTCTCTCTCTCTCTCTCATATTCACCAGATATTAATATATTTTGTAACTAACTGTAAGTCAAATTATTTCAGGGAACCATAGAATGAAGAGCATATGACATAAAATAAATAAAGCAGTTTCTGAAGTGTTGAGTTGAAGATCATCAGATCTGTAAGATCATCATTGTAAAATTTAAATATTATGTAGTCTCACCTCTAGAACAAGTTAAAGTTGATGCTTTTTTTTTAAATAATTGACTATGAAGGCAATTCAAAAGTGACTTTGAAAGAACATTTATTTACGCATCATGAATTCATAACATTGATAGTTGAAAGTATCTCCTGCATTATTATAAAAACATTTATTTGTTCGTATGTCAACTACAGAACTCAAAATTTTTGTAAAAATTTTAAAGAAAGATTCTAAAGAATTTTGAATTATTGGAAAAAAATGGATTTTTTTTAGCATTTTAGTCATTCAAATTAAGAAATTAATGTATTAATTACATAGTTTTTTTACGTAGTATTAGTAAATATTGTACTACTGAAGGTGTTAAACGTGCATATATTTATATAATCTCTAATATGTGCTAGTGTGTTGTGTGTGTTTCATGATAAAAAAATAACTAGGTACAAACAAATACTAAACACTTCTTAACTTCAAGTAAACCGATATTAAATGTAACGTACGTCTAACTTTATATGGAAAAGACTGAAAAGCTTAAACTCATCACTTGCCCGCTTTTTGTCCATTTTTTTAAATTAAAAAATAACTCCCGCATTAAGAATACATCCTGTGTCGCGTGGGACTCTGAGAACATATATGAAACATGACACAAAGAGCATCCAGACTTAGAACAACTATTTTTGGATCACAAAAAGTGTTGTCCCATATGGGGATCGACCCCACAACGCGGCGAACCTAGAAAGCGGCGTAACGACTGCTTAAACCACTACACCATCCGTGCAGTCAAATGCAAATAATTTTGGCTGGTTTCTCTCATGACCGGCTGCCCGACTGACGCCTACGCTCATTGGGAATGTAATCTAGTTCAGACGGGACAAAGGGAAAATATAAATTTAGTAAGGGAATATGGATAAGGCAAAGAAAGGGGTAAAGAATACCCAGAGTCTCAGATGGGGAAAGAAAAAGAGAGTAAGATAAGAATGAGACTACAATAGCTCGAAGAAGCCAGACTGGGCCATAAATTGGCAATGTTGACAACTGACGGGCCTGTTGGTCTAGTGGTTAGTGACCCTGACTGCTGAGAAGGAGGTCGTGGGTTTGATGCCCAACCTAGACAAATATTTGTATGATGAGCATGATCATTTGTTCATTTGTAATCCCCCAATCCTAGTGTGGGGGCCAGAGATATTTTGTTTTAGTACTTAAGTACTCATGTAATTGTGTAAGTGTAATAATGTGTTGTGAACAATTTTTGCATAAATAAAGATTAAAGAATAAAGAATTTGTTCTGTGTCGAAGTGTAATTTGTCTATAATTACTATTTATTTAGAAATTTTTGACTGCACGGATGGCGCAGTGGTTTAAGCGGTCGCGACGCCGCTTCCTACTGCGCCGTGTGTTGTGGGTTCAAACCCCACATGGGACGACACTTTGTGTGATCCACAAATTGTTGTTCTGAGTCTAGGTGTTCTTTGTGTCCATCTCATGTATGTTTGTAAAGTCCCCCGCGACACAGGATATATTCCTAATGCGGGAGTTGTCTTTTTAAACAAAAAAAAATAAAATAAAAAGTAAGTAACGTACTTCAAGCTAATTTTAAGTAACATATATCAGCAGTCTGGTTATCATAGTACATAATACTCCGCCTAGTTTGGGATCAGACCACGTGTGTGAGATATCTGGGGTTGTTATTATTAACCTTTAGTTTCTAATGGCAATAGATATGCATTTTCCTTTAGCACTGACTTATGAGTCAAGTCCGGTTAGGTTTGTAAGCAATGATATCAATTCCGTTTCAAGGACTATACACAAATAAATTTGTAAAAAACAATTAATTATAACTCCGATTAGATACGTCATATAGATAAAATACGATACTATCGATTAATGACATTATCGATAATATTAAACAGCTTAATTAAAAGGAAAATATTGCAGGTGGATTTTTTGATAAAAGAATTACTGATAAAATACTGTAAAATTTAAAACCGCTTTTAAATTTACTATTAAAATCTTCTTAAATTTGCTTAATCTTACTTTCTAACTAAACATCGTTCGGCGATTATGATTAAATTAGTCTAATTACTATAAATAAATAATCCTAAAATATATTTTTAAGTCACATTTGTCTTCTGGACTAGTAAATTTTATTAGGTCCTTTATCACAAAACTGTTTTGGATGGAAAATCACGGCCTATTTTTTTACGAAATAACCCATATTGCGCACAAAGATAAGACTTAAAATCTCTTATCATCGCCTCATAAACTAACAAAATTTATTTTTACTGTTGAAGTGTAGTATACATCATAGCATAGCATCATATACATTGAAGTTTATTTTTTTAATTACGATTACTTTAAATTTAAAGCAAAAAAATTGACTCCAATTTTTATATATTTTATTTTTATTCATAACGTCATAAATTTTATATTACATAATTTATCTTAGTTACATAATTTGGTCATTAAGTGTATTTAAATTTTAGTAGCATTATTCAGTATATTGATGATTAATGCTAATTAATTGTCTATGATCGTGTGTATAAATAAATATATTTATATTATAATATAAGTAAATCGGTAGCTAGGTATTTTTTTCATATATTTCAGAAGAGGTTTTATATATTTTTATTTTTCAAAACTATTTATTTTATAACAGCTACTTTAGTCTAATATCAGATCAACCTTCCCAACATTACTTCAAACCACGGCTTCATACCACGGCCTCACAGAAAACCGGGGTTAAGCAATTCTTTCTTTGTCTTTCACTGAGTGAGTGAGGTTTCCGGAGCCCAAATCCCCCCTCCCGCTGACTTGAGCTGGAGGGACTCTAAGGGCGGCAACGCACTTGTGACTTTTGAGTTGCAGGTATCCATGGAAGGTGGTAGTTGCTTACCATCAGGTGACCTGTCTGCTCGTTCGCCCCCTTATACCATAAAAAAAGCCCTAATCACAAGTGAAAAAATCTAATATTCCAAATTTTAAATTAGTTCCATTAAATACAAATACCTAAGAAATCTAATTTCATGAATAAAATATTTTAGTTCAAAACAATAAAATATGTAATACAAACACAAAAATCACAAAAATAAATTTTTAAAAGATGACAAAAATTCTTACCACTGATAAGATGAAATCTTCAAGGCGTGTGATAAATTCTAAACGCATATACACAGGCATATACAGCTTATGATCTATTACAACCGACGACACCGCTATCTGACCATCGACTGAAAACTTGATTTGGCGATAAAAAAAAAGAAATCTCACGTTTTTATCGCAATTTACGTCGATTTTATGTGATTTCTTAGTAATATCTGGCGATAACAAATGATAAATAGCGGTACCATTGGACTGTAATCATTGATTTTCACTAATTCAGTGATTTCGAATTCAATTAGGTATTTGATTTTTTAAACTTATCACTGCTCGACATTTTAATATTTAGAACTGTTAAAATAACATGTTATCTTATTATATCGTCTGACATTGATATCTTGTAC